ACTCACTGAAGACAATGGTGAATTTGAAATATGATAGTTATTCAGTGAAATATTTGTTTTAATTTCAGTAAGATATTTTACCTAGTATAACACTGATTTACTTTAGTGTAATGATTATTCAGTATATGTTCAGCATGATATTCAGCATATGAATTTTTAGAATTTTCGGCATTTCTCATGTATGTGATTTTATTCGAATTAATATTCAAAATGGATGTACAATCAAAGTATAACGAATGTATTTTCGATTAGGTTCGTAATCTTATTTTGTGGTGAATAAATCTTCATTTGTACCAATCTTGGTGTAATTACTTCACGTCGTGGAAATTGTAATGGTCCCTCGTTTTCCAAGTATAAGTAATAAGCTACGTAGGCATAACATGTAACTAAGGTGAACACAGACAATAAAATGCAACAACGTGTAGACAATAAACTTCTCATACTACACTATTAACGTGATAATGTTCTGTCATTATTTTTAAAAAGATCATGACGCTGATACATTCTGAGTATGCCAGTAATTCAGGTCCCTAGTTATTTTACACGATTATATTCTGTTAAGAATTTACTGCGATATTTTATTGCCCATTACAAGTAACGATTCACCTTTTTTGAATTTATATTCAGATATCTATTGATTCTACGTTTTTGTGATCAGTGGCACTTTTCTTAATAAAAATTTAGTAGTTGAATTGAAGCTAGACCATCATGGAAAACCTGGAAGCACTGTATTGCCGTGTCGTCCTACTATGGTACTCCTCAGTTGTGCGCATCCACGATCTCGCCTCCCGAGATTCCAACTCAAGACCTATTAGTCACGCGCGCGTGCTCTTAACCACTAGACCACTGGGCTGGCCGGCATCCAACGGTGTTAACGTCTAACTTCAACTAATCCACGAAATCAAGCTACAAATCCACCATTGTCTTCAGTGAGTTACTACCTTACAACAGACCTGGTTGAACTCCACTGGTCACTAGTTCTCACTAGAACTCCAGGAAACGGCCTTGCAGCGCTTCCAGGTTTTCCAAGGTGTGCTAGCTTCAATTGATTGATGAATCCAACAATTAAATTACTACAATATCCACAAAACCCCTTTGTGATTTTAATAAGAATTATTCCATTGAGCGTTTTTACTATACACATTTCTACTAATTTAAATATTTATCTAAAATTATTTCGTCAGTGTTTTTTTGAAGTAGATAAAAGTGGGTTTCAGCGAGAAATGTTAGGATTACTTAACTTTCGTTGTGATTACCGCAAACATAACTTTTACCTATAGTATATTCCATATACCTAAAGCTTAACCTCTGTGTTGTTCAGCCAATTTCTGATAAATGTCCCTAAAAGATAGTCTTTTGTAATAGTTCCTTATATCAATGAGAGTAAAATGTGTAATTGTACGTTTCTTTGTCATCAGAGAAACTATGGAATTTATAAATATCCTACTTCGCAGCTCAGCCTAGACGAAAAATCGGAATAGTGTGTCTGAGATCTATCAAATATACATATACAAGTATGTTCTTATCGACTACTAAACAAGAAAGAAAAACTAGAATTTAATGAAATGACTATAAATTCAAACAATCTAGTCTTCAGACAAACCTAAACCAATTAATTCAAAGTATAATAAGTAGAAGTCAAATTAAAGACTAATTAAACTGTTTTATGATAATATTATAAAACATGACAATAAGCAAGAGGAATGCGTTTTTATCGTGAATAAAAATTCAAACTATTTACTTTATATATATATATATATATATATATATATATATATATATATATATATAATAGCCTTTAATCGTTCATTTTCATCTTTCTGTGTGTTCTGCCATCTCGTCTAATCTCCAAGTGTTCTGCGAACGCCACGCTTCCAATGCATTGAAACTCATTACCCCGTCAATTCACGCATCTGTCATTAAAGCTGCATGGAATCAAAATCCGAAGTGAAAATCGTAAAAGAATCTAAATTCTCTATGACAGTTATTACACTCCGGTAACCATAACAATCTATGAATAGTAGACACAAGTGTGCCTAATAGGACTAGTAATGCGGTGTGCGCTACTTATATTGACATAAGTAGTATATGATGTTAGTCATGAACAGAACGTCTGGCAGCAGAGAGACAAGAGGTTAGAACAGTAAAGAATGGAAATAGGATGTAATTTGTGTGAAAATGCAAGAACAATGAAGTCTGAGTCATTTTGAGACAAATGATGGATATTTTGCAAATTGAGCATTTACTTTATGATTACTAGATTTTATTAACAAGTCCTGTGGTTCTGTGTTGAATACATTCAATTGTCCCCACCCGTGTTCTTGTTCACTACAGTAGAACATGTCCACGAAATTACTGTGAACAGTTGCATAGGATTATACAGCTGTTTGAAATTTTGCAATTTAGTCCACTTACTTAAATTATCAAATGTCTTACCGGTTAGGATCTATTTTGAAATTGAAAGATAAAGATCCAGTTTCTAGATCATAATAAATCGATAATTTTCAATTTATCCTACAGTCAAAATGCTTCCTAAAATGCCTTGTAGATCTTCCATCAAAAAATACTTAGGTAACGATATTTAAACTCGTATTTAACATCAAAAATAAAGTTTATCGATCTGGTTTTGATCAATATCAAAGTGTTCTTGAAACTGGTGGAATGATTTGTGCGCTTTGATACAGTTACGCTGATAATAAAACTGCAGGACTATATATTTATCCTGTTCTCTGAAATAAAGCGAAATCTAGACTGCTAAAAATCCAAGGTAACAACTGTTAAACTATTATAAAAGAGGCAAATGTTTCAGTGCCAGGAATGATCATTAAAAAGCTCTTCTTTGTAAATGATTGATTTCCTTGATTATTCGTTCCATAACATCTTGTAAAAATTGTCGTGAAATGATATCAACAACCATTCGATGGATAACTTAGTTGACTTATAATAATAACAACAAAATATTTTTAATATTCCAGTAGGCATTAAGATGAAATTTTTGACCTTTCTGACTTATTGTAACTTTTATCTTCAACAAAAAGGTAGTGATTTTAAGTTCACAATAACTTCAATATTCTTATCCTGAGCTACAAGTATTCCACATCATCATCTCAAGTTGATTTAAAAAATAAAAGTAAAACAATCAACACACTTCAAAACGCTTTAGACTGAATAACCGACACATTTCATTTACAAAACTCTTAGTATGACATTTTGAGTAGAAAATACTTCTAATCTTCACGAAAGAGCCATTGGAATCTAAAACTCATATCAGCAGTTTTAGCACATAAAACATTAAACAACCATCAAATTGATAATATGAATATCGAAAAATGATTTCAGAAATTTAAAGAAACCCAAGTAGCTGAAACGCTTCATGAAATATGAAATTATTCCGTGATCAATAGAGCTCTTATTAACCAACCGAACATGACAATCTCTTTAGATGATCACATTCAAACTGAGCAGAATCACATGACAAAAAACAACACATTAATCTACTCGTTCAGATCACAAGTATTACTTGTTTCGTACCCAGTTATACATACACATTAATAAATAAAAACATGTCTTCCATAGAATCATAATTCACCTGAATAATAGCATTATTATAATCAAATTTGTTTGAATGTACTAAATATTTGATTCGATCTGTTCTTTGTACATTGTAAACTTGTGTTAAATTGGAAAGTTTGTTATTCTCTTAGGACGTGACTTTAACTGAATGTCAAAAACTCAATTTTTGTTACAATAATAAAAGAAATATATTTTTTATTATTAAAAAGTTTATTCCATATTTCATTTATTTTAAATCATTGGATCATACTTTGAAAATTATATCGATTACTGTTAATTATTTGTTACAGCTTTAAAACGTAGAGAGAAACTAGGGAATTCTTTTCAAAAGACTGTAATGTGCTACAATTTAACACATAGTTGCCAAGTATATGTACATACATATTTACTAACGCCTGTTACTCCTCGTGAAGGGGCATAGGCCACTCACCACCACTCTACATCCAACCATGTCCTAGACAATCCTTTAGAGCTCTTTCCACTTGTTATTTATCCTTTTCATATCTCCTTCTATTTCCCAACGTCATGTGTTCTTTGCCCTTTCACTTCTCCGCTTCTCTTCATCATTCCAAGCAACGGCTTGCCTCGTGATGCAGTTTGGTGATTACTATAATGTATGTTCTATCCATTTTCAACGTCCTTTCCTAATTTCCTCTTCAGATCGAACCTGATTTGTTCTCTCCCACAGTAGGCTGTTGCTGATGGTATCCGGTCAACGGATATTGAGTATCTTGTGTAGACAACTATTTATAAATACTTGCACGTTCTTCACGATGGTTGTAGTAGTTCTCCAAGTTTCAGCTATATACAGTAGAACTGTCTTGAAGTTCGTTTTGAACATTCTCACTCTGATATTGGTTGAAAATTGCTTTGAGTTCCATATGTTCTTCAACTGTAGGAATACGGCCCTTGCTTGGTCAATCCTCACCTTTACGTCTGCGTCCGATCCTTCTTCTTCATCGATGATGCTTCGCAGATACATGAAGGATTCCACATTTTCCAGAGTTTCTCCATCAGGTGTAATTGGATTGGTGATATCCTTGTTGTATTTGAGGATCTTGCTACTTCCTTTGTGTATGTTGGGGTCTATTGATGCAGAGGATTTTTCTACACTGGTTCTCTTCATCTGCATTTGTTCATGTGTATGGATAGGGTGGCTAGGTCATCTGCGAAGTCCGAATCGTCTGATTGGTCCTGAGCTGTCGATTGTATTCCGTACTAAAAAAATCCCCAACCAGATTTAACAAATATACATACATATCTGATGAAATGAAAATCCATAAAAACATCATTGGAAAGTATAAAATAGATTTTAGAATTTATAAATTATATTATTCAAAAATATTTTTCTTCCAAAATTTAATTATTTAGCCTACTTATTTATTTCTTGACAATAAGTGACAATCATACGTTTTCTTTTTTTTTAGATTTTTCATTGTTGGCAATACATCCATCATTTTGTATGTTGTAAAACTGAACTACATTGTACAATGTTCAATCCTCAAAAGATAGATACAGTGTAACATGGATAAGAATGAGTTTATCAAATATATACGTATATATGCATAATGTGTTCAATCATCTTTTTATTTTTACAATAAAATGAATCTAATTCATTTTTGTCTTATTTTACACAATAAATCTTCAAAAACGCTTTTTTTTAAAACAAAAAGAAATTGAAATTAGTGCACGAAACATTTATTGATTGTTTTTGAAGTTTGTTGAAAAGGACTTGGTTTGTATTAGGTTTTAGTGACCCTATATTTGATTCCTGTTAGATCAGACACAACTGTTATCAAATGGTTGCTGTCGAGATATATATTCTGGCTATCCTTCTATATAATTATCGAATTCAATCGCGTTGGTGAATAACGGAATTAAATAAATCAAATACGAGAATGTAGCTTTGAGTACATATATTTTGTACAATCGTTGATCAGAACAGACAATCGGAGAAACGTAGCGAAGCAAAAAGGTCGCACGATTAAAAAGGTATATGAGCCAACTCAGTTTAATCAAGCGTTAATCAATATCTACAGTCGAACGAAAATATGTTACAGACATGTGATGAGTAGGATAAGAAGCGCACACACATACGCTCACATAAAACAGCGTTGACAAGCGGATAATTAACAAAGTCAAGCTACAGTTACTTCCTTTCTGTTTTTGTCCAATGCATTACTCTATGTAAACCTTACACACAGTTATTCAGCTTAACAATTGTGAATTTAAATGGGACCTCGCAAGATTTTGTACTTTTACTATAAATTAAAAGTCTAAAAACGGTTTCAAAAACATTTATTTCGAAAAAAAGATGTTAAAACAATGTTCTGATGACTGTTAATATCTTCTTTCTTGTCAAGTTAAAACAATTTAAATAAAGCCAGAACGAACATTGATGCAGAATAATATGAATTCATTATATTTTGTGGTTTCTCAATTGCCGCTTACAACAAAATATATATTGGAATTTTACATTGAAGTAAGATATAGTTTGGGACAATTGACATATGTGAATGTAAAGAATTTGAATAACAAAGGTTATCAATAATCACTATATATATATATATATATATATATATATGTGCAAGAACAGGTCAGAGGTTATTTGGTATTGGAATCAAAAAACGTTAGAAAAGGGTGATGTAATCGTTGAGTGAAGTCCAGACACAGATAAGATAATTTCACTGGTTGAAATCATGAGTCATTTGAAGCTAGACCACCATGGAAAACGTGGAAGCACTAGACGGCCGTTTCGTCCTATTATGGGACTCCTCAGCAGATAAGATAAATTGTGATAATTTTAAAGATAACTATTTATGATGGATCATTCGTAGTACAATTTATTAATTCTAGTATTCACTATATTGAAACAAATGTCGATAGAGAATAATCAAAATTCTATGAATAAATAACAAACCCTATTCAAAGTGAACGTGTTATTTATAAAAACTTTTAATTATTCGGATAAACACTAGAAATTAGAATTATTTCAACTATAAAGAAACTTGCTTACATATAGAAGAATCATTGAATCAAAAGTAAAATTTAAAATTGCTACTTATATCAATCATACAAAACAAAAAAAGGATTATACTAGTAAATAATACAATTAATTGAACTGTGAATAAATATTCAATATGAAATTATTAACTAAAAAAAATAATCAGAGAGGGATTTTGTGAATATTATAGAAATTTAATGGTTGAGTTCATGAGTCAAATTGAAGCTAGACCACCATAAGAAACCTGAAAGCACTGGATGGCCGTTTCGTATTAGTATGGAACTCTTCAGCAGTGGGCATCCACGATCCCGCCTTGTGAGATTCGCACCCAGGACCTATCGGTAACGCGCGCGAATGCTTAACCTCTAGACCATTGGGCCGGCTTCCAACAGTGTTAGTGTCTAACTTCAACTAATCAGCGAAATCAAGTGACACGTTCACCATTGTCTTTAGTGATTTACTATCTCTCAACAGACCTGTCCACTGCTTCCAGATTTTCCATGGTGTCTAGCTTCAATTGACTCATGAACTAAACCATTAGAAAATAAACGATATTTCATTCATACTCATTGCTTAATCTGATTAAACTAATTGCTTAAAGATTATAACGAAGTATGATGAGCAAGTTATTCGATAAATTCCAATTCTAAAAAGGATTCTTGGCATCATGATTACAAGTAGAATGAACTCAGCCTTATTTAAAAGACTAATATTTGAACGAATATTCTTCTCGATAAGTTCTCGTCAGAATCTACGATTATATATCTAAATTAATAATCCTAAAAAATGGCCACGTTAATGTTAAAGTACATCGTTTAAGGCATGTGAATTTAGGACTGTCAAACGAAATAGAATAAAATTGTTAATGTTGATATGACTCATATAGAATGTTAACTAGGATCTGCATATATGTTAAGGGAAATTTTAAGATCCATGATCAGAATAAAAATGGGTCAGATAGAGTGAGAGAAATAATAGTGCAATTACAATTCGATGAAATGTCTAGTGGAAGACTGTATTGTGTGAAAAACTAGTAAGACGTAATAAGGAGAGATGAATGGGGAGTGAATGAACCATGTATATGAGAGATTATTAATAATGTTTAACCAATAGTAATAATAATAATAGGTTGAGGTTAATCATTAACACCGTTGGATGCCGGCCATCTCAATGGTCCACAGGTTAGTCGTTCGTGCGCGAAACTGAAAGGCTCTGTGTTCGAATTTCGCGAGGCGGGATTGTGAATACCCACTGCTGAAGGGTTCCATACTAGTACGAAATGGTCATCCGGTGCTTCCAGGTTTCTCATGGTGGTCTAGCTTCAATTTGACTCGTGAATTCAACTATTAAAAATAATACAAACATTTGTGAATAAGGATAACAGAAGCAATTACATTTGACTACGAAAGGTTGTAAGTGCAATAGTCAAATTAGGTCATTCAGTAGCTTTATTTGCCGAGTTTGTTTTTTAAAAATATGTTCTAAGCAAATGGTATGATCTTATAACTTTGATTTTCTCATTGATGTCTTAAAATTTCCCTCTACATATTGAATTCTTCAAATGTACTTTCTATATATGATTTTCTTTAAAATATTAAATTGATTTATAATATTTAGAATGTATGCTTCAAAGTATTTACAAATTTTTGGCTCCATTCCTGTTATTCGTATATGGTAGTGACATTTTGTGTTTTACAAAATTTAATTCATTTTTAACCATTGAAATGTTTGATGAATATAGTCGTGTTTGGTAATGGTGTTTTTTAAATTCTAAATATAAATAATTGTACGTGTAATTGGTATTCACAGGATTATATTGACTTTGATGAATTGTTCAAGATCTTATACTCGGCTATTAGTTTTATTTAGTAAGTTAGTAACGAATTATAACGTGAATGTAGTAAGATGACTAAAATGTTTTGTCACAATAATTAAAGGTCATTAAAGAATTCTACAAGTGTGAGAGGACAGCAATTAGGTGTTCTATACTTGAACACCTAATCGACTGTTATCATTCTACGAATCGACAGTTTGATTTTAAAGTTGTATATACGGTTCATTCAAATCTGCCTAGATTTCTTTATATCCAACTCCTAAAAAGAGCCTAAGCTCTTACCATCCATGAGCTTAAGCGAGAACTATGCGTACAAAAGAAGTATGTCCTATCATTATCGTTACCGTGGCCTTAATTATTATTATTATTATTACTGCATCCCCCCTTTACTTATGTCTCATATTCTCATTATTTTATACATAAGTATTCATCATATCACTTTATTTATTTTTTACACCTCTATGACCTTTAATTATTGTAATAAAACCTTTTAGTCATCTTACTACTTTCACGTTATAATTCGTTACTAACTTACTAATTCTGTTGTTATTATTCGTATTACGTAGTCTAGTAATATAATATTAGTTTTATTAATATTCACCAGTTTCACTGGTTGGAATCATGAGTCAGTTGAAGCTAGAACACCATGGAAAACCTTTAGGCACTGGACGGGTGTTTCGTCCTAGTATGAAACTCCTCAGCAGTGCTCATCCACGATCCCGCCTCCCGCGAGATTCGAACCCAGGACCTATCAGTCTCGCGCCAGGTGCTAAACCAACTAGACTGGACATATTTTATAAGTTTCAAAGCTGATACTAATAGGTTATCATTGAAATCATTCTGACGATCGATGACACTATTGATTTGTGTCAACTGAACAATCAATCAAAATTTTAGTATTACAGAATTTGTTATGTCATTATTTGAAAGCTTCCCAATACACTTTCTGTTCCTTATTTATTCAAAGAAATAAATATGAACTTTTAGAAAAATAGATGTTATTCAACCTATTCAGCAAATAAGTGAAAATTCACATACCTGACAGAAAGTTTTCATTTGCATTAAATTATCAAAGTTTAAAAGTATGAGTAGTATACGTAAGTGATAGAAATCATTTCCCTCTACATACGTTTTTGACCACTCACCTTATGAATGATACCCTAAAGTATTTTTATATTGTAGAATTATCATATTTGAAAGTTTTAATAAAATTCAATTTGATAATCTTGTCTATTGAATGTAATAATTAGATTCAACGTTTGGGAAATATTTAATATTCTGAAATGGTGTATTTTTTATGTTTTTACCTGTTATATAAAACAATTTAGCATCAATGTTGTAACGACCGAACTGCCAGTATTCGGTTTGAACGCAGGACTGACGAACCAAAATGTATTCAAGTAGGCCAGACTACGTTCTTCTGCATAGCTTACAAAGCGTCTTTGAGAAACTTGTATTAAATTATATGAAAACACAAACTCCGTGATCAATTTAGAAGGTTCTAATTTAGGAAATAGGACAAATTATATCAGAAATACAATATACCTCAAATGATACAGCCTGTGCTATACAGTCAGAAGTTTCTCTGACGCAAAGTAGCGCGCTAAGCAATAAAAGAAACAGTTAGTACTAAAGCGTTTGATACCTGAACCATATACAAATTTGATAACAGTGTAGCTCAAACAACTTTAATTGTGTAGTTCTAGGAATTGCTGTCATTTGAATTATGTGAATGTAAATAATTGATTTTCATCATGAATTTGCACTTGTAATGATTAAATTCAATTTCTGCGACGTGAAAATCACGTGCATTATGCATTAATTACGACTTAAAGGGATTCTTGAAAATATCAAAAATAAAGTTTTTTTTTTGTTTTAGCAAATATAGAAATTATACAACCGTATTATATTACATACTTACTCCTGTTACTATTAATAGAACAAAGGCCACCTACCACGATTCTCCAACTAAATCTGCCCTCGATTCTCCTTCCTAATAGTTTTCAAGTGAAATTCATTGTTCAGTTGTTTGCCTCTGATTCCTAGTTTCACTGTGTTCCCTGGTCTTCCTCTTCTCTTTCTGTCTTCGACATTGCAAACTTCGATTTATCTCGTAATGAGGTCTAGCGATTTCCATAATGCATGTCCTATCAACCTTCATCGTCTTTCCTAAATTTCTACTTCAGCTGGAAGTTTTTTCGTGTTCTGTCATAGCGGATTGTTGCTGATGGTATCTAGTCAACAAACATTGAGTATCTTGTTTAAACAGTTGTTTATAAATACTTGTACATTTTCGATGGTGATTGTATTTATTGCACAAGTTTGAACTTAGTATACGAGAACTGTCTTGACATTCATATTAAAAATTCTGACTGCCTACCAACATCAAAGTTAGAATCTTCAAAACGAACGTAATGGCAATTCTATTATCCAGAGCTCAAACTTGCAGATCTACTCCAATCGTCGAAAATTTACAAGTATTTATAAACAGGATACTCAATATCATAAAAATGAATAATAAGTTATTTTGTTAGAATCTAAAAGCTCACAATTTAAGCGTTATTTATGAAATTTTTTCCACATTATCAATGTAACATTATTATCATGAAAACAAGATATTAAAAATAAAGTGAGTTGAAACTCAG